AACTGGTCCAATAAACAGTTTCACGGTGGATGCAGAAAAGTTGTTAAGGACTTTATATCACTTGATTCTACAAAACTCACCAATGGAAGCAGTAGTCAAGACATCAGATGACATATTGCATTGGCAAATCTGCTGCAAAAGACCTCTTTCAAGTGGTGAAGTGCAAAGGTGTCTCCTTGAAGACTAAGGTGCATCTAATCCAAGCCATGGTGTTTTTAATTGCCTCTTATGCATGTGAGAGCTGGACAGTGAATAAGGAATATCAAAGAAGAGTTGATGATTTTGAGTTATGGTGTTGGAGAAGAATGCTAAGAGTACCATGGACTGCTAAACGGACTAACAAATCTGTCCTGGAAGAAGTGAAGCCCGAATGATCCTTGGAAGTGAGAATGGCCAGACTTTGTCTTACCTACTTTGGTCATGTTGTCAGAAGGAACCATTCCCTGGAGAAGGAGAGCATACTTGGTAAAGTGGAGGGTCAATGAGAAAGGGGAAGATCCTCAATGAGATGGATTGACACAATGGCTACAACAATGGGCTCAGGTATAGCAAGGATCGTGAGGCTGGCACAGGACCGGGCAGTGTTTCATTCTGCTGTGCATAGCATAGCTATGAGTTGGAGATGACTCAACAGCACTTAACAACAACAACATACCTGCTGAGTAGATACACAAATTGTGTTCCATCCAAACAGTGGAACAGTATTCAGCTATAAAAAGGAACTAACTACAGATATACATAATGGCACATATGTACGTTGTGCTAAGGAAAATAAGAAAGATACAAAAATAGACATACTATATGCCTCCTATATGATATTCTAGAAAAAGCAAAATTGCACAGACAGAAATCAGCAGTGGTTACTAGGGACTGGGAGTGAAGGGATGGGATTGACTACAAAGACACACAAAGAAATGTGGGGGGAGGGTAATGGAAATATTTTACAGCTTGATCCTTCTGGTGATGGTTACACAACAGTATGCATTTGTCAAAACTCATCAAACCATATGCCTAAAGTTAATTTCACTCTATGAAAAATATATCTCATTAAACTTAACCTTAAAAGAAAAAATCCACAGGGTTGAGAAAACTCTGGACTATTTCTGCTTGCTGCTTGGTTCTCAATGATAAATAATGATGATCTATCTTTATAAAGTGCTAAACTCCTAAAACAGGTGTGTTTCCACTTACCACCTACCCCTGCTTGTTTCTCCTCCTTCATCTCCTCCTACTCTCCCTTCCTGTCTCTGTTTAACTCAGGAAGATCATGCTGGCCTCAGGCTCTTTACAGTTGCTGTCTCCTGGATCTCTGCATAGTTTACTCCTTCTCTTCATTCCTGACTAAGTTCCAAAGTCATCTCCAGGTATAGGTTGCCCCTGACCACCCTCTATAAAGTAGCCACATCACTATAACGTAAATCTGTATTCTTTTTCCCAGTAGCTCTTATACAAAAACCTGAGATTTTTATTTGTATTCATGCTTGTTTGTGTCTCTCCACTAAAAGGCAAGGCTTTTGCCTCTTTTTTATCTTCTAGAATAGTGTGCCTGGCATGGTAGACACATAATAAAGATTCATTGAATGAACATGTTCTTTATTAAACCTCAGTAGGCATCTTTAAAAAATAAAGTTTCCATTTAAGTTCTGGAAATAGAGCCACACAAAGAAATGCTTATTACATGCCCTGCCATATTTTCACTTGCCCTTCTCAAGATATGTACTTCACAACTATTGTTAATTTGGAGTTTATTGAAAAGAACATTAGACTGACAGTTATGAATACTGGATCCCACCACCTTTGGGTCTGATAATTCCATTTCTAGAAATTTGTCCCAAGGAACAAATTGGACACATGTACAAATATATATTATCAAGATGTTTATCCAGTGTACTTAGAATAACAAAAATTGAGGGAAGAAATATTTACACAATGGGGCTTGGCTAAATAAACTGCAGTATATCCATCAATGTCACAATTATGAAATCCTATAAAATGATGATTATATTCATTTTGTTACTTAATACATATTCATTGAGTACTTGCTAATTTCAGAAACTGTTCTAGATGCTAAGAAAGCAGGAGTGAATAAAATAAAACAGGCAAAGACCCTATCTTCCTAAACCTTACATTTTGATGGGGAAGAAAGATAAGAAAAATAAACAAATATACTCTGTTTTCAGATGACAACAAGTGCTATGAAGGAAGGATGACATAGAGTAAGGAAAAAATAACTGGGGTGTGCTATTTTGTATAGTGTGGACAGGGAAATACTCTGAGGTAGGTCACAATTGACCAGAGACCTGAACAAAGTGGGAGAGTGAAGCAATCAAATATGTATGGAGTTGTTGCTGTTTTAGGTGCCATTGAGTTGGCTCCAACTCATAGTGACCCTGTGTATAAAAGAAGGAAACACTGACCAGTCCTGTGTCATCCTCACAATCCTTGCTATGTTTGAGCCCATTGTTGCAGCCACTGTGTCAATCCATCTCCTTGAGGGTCTCCCCGTTTTGCTGACCCTCTACTTTACCAAGCATGATATTCTTCTCTAGGGAATGGTCCCTCTGACATGACCAAAGCAGGTGAGATGAAGTCTGGCCATTCTCACTTCTAAGGAGCATTTTGGCTGCACTTCCTCCAGGACAGATTTGTTTGTTCTTCTGGCAGTCCACAGTATGTATATTCAGTATTCTTTACCAACACCACAATTCAAAGGTATCAACTCTTCTTCGGTCTTCCTTATTCATTGTACAGCTTTCTCATGCATATAAGGCCATTAAAAACACCATAGCTTAGTTTAGGTGCATCTTAGTCTTCAAAGTGACATCTTTGTTCCTTGACACTTTAAAGAGGTCTTTTGCAGCAGATTTGTCCACAACAATTTTTTGATTTGCTGCTTCCATTGAGGGTTATTGTGGATCCAAGCAATATGAAATCCCTGACAACTTCAATCTTTTCTCCATTTATCATGATATTGGTATTGGTCCAGTTGGGAGGATTTTTGTTTTCTTTAGGTTGAGGTGTAATCCATACTGAAGGCTGTAGTCTTTGATCTTCATTAGTAAGTGCTTGAGTCTTCACTTTCAGCAAGTAAGATTGTATTATCTGCATATCACAAGTTGTTAATGAGTCTTCCTCCAATCCTGATGCTGTGTTCTTCTTCATATAATCCAGCTTCTTGTATTATTTGCTGAGCTTATAGATTGCATAAGTATGGTGAAAGGATGCAACCCTGACAAGCACCCTTCCTGATTTTAAACCCTGCAGCATCCCCTTGTTCTATGGAGAGATCTAGGAAAATCAGTAGCTCTGAGAAAGGAATGTGCTTGGCTATGTTGAGGGAAAAAAAATGAGGTCAATTTGCCTGGAGAAGAGTGAGCATGGAGAAAAATGGTAAGAAATAATATCTAGGAGGGAGCCAAGAAGTAAATTTTGAAGGGTCTTATAGGCCATGGTGAAGAGGTTGAATTTATTCTAAATGAGTTGGGAAGTCTTAAAGAATTTTGAGTAGAGAAGTGTTCTGGTTACCCAGTGCCACTCTCACAAGAATATATACCACAAATGGGATGACCTTAACAAAGAGGAGTTTATTCTTACGATTTGGATTTGGAGGCTTTAAGTTCGAGTTCTAAGTGCCAGGCTCTAGGGGCTGGTTTATGGTGGTGATGAGTACACAGAGATTGATTACATTATTCTCTTTGCTTTTGTATTTAGGAGCTCTGGTGGTGTAGTGCCCGAGGCATCTGACTGCTGACCAGAAGGCTGGCAGTTCAAACCCATCAGCCACTCCTCAGAAGGAAGATTGGGGAATCTACTTCTGTAGTGATACCGCCTCAGAAACCCAAGGAGGGTTTACTATGAGTCTGATCAAACTCCACATCAGTGAGTTTGTTTTTTTGTGGGGAATAGTAAGTTAAAAAATTAAAAAAAGAAAAAGAAATGAAAGAATCTTATTTTTGAAGAAGTAAAATTGCTGAAAACTTTGATCAGAATAGCAATTTTATTTTTCATGAAAACATGTTGATTTTTGTAAAAGTTACCAATGTTTTCTCTGTTAAAATACATCTCTACTTAGAAGTGCTACACGTGCAAAGCTCTTTTAAGATTCCCACAAATAGAGAAATTTGTGTCACTTCTTGTGAAAATAACCTCTCCAAGAAGTCTTTGAATCTGATTCTTTAAAAACAACAACAAAAAACTTGGTCATGTGTTGGTTGGAAATACTTTAATAGACAGTTTTGAATTCCTAAATCAAAATAAAAGCAAATGGATGGTGAAGAACAAAGATTCAGAATATATTAACTCCCAAACATGTTAACAAAGGGAGCTCTGGTCGTGTAGTGCCTAAGGCATTTGACTATTAACCAGAAGGCTGGAGGTTCAAACCCACCAGCCACTGCTCGGAAGGACGATTGGGCAATCTATTTCCATAGTGATAAACCAAAAAACCAAACTCACTGCCTTCCAGTCGGATCCAGCTCATAGCGACCGTCCGTGGGTTTCCGAGGCATTGTCACCTCAGAAACCCAAAGAGGAGTCGCTATGAGTCGGATCCGACTCCACCGTAGTGAATTTGGTTTTTATGTTAATATGTTTATTTGAAAGAATTACGAATACTATAGAGTCCAATCTCATTTTTTGTATTTTTTTTTTACATTTTACATATTTACACATCCTTTAAATATTTTATATATAGTTTTGACGTGAGTTTGTAGTTTGTTATTTTTAAAATGCCTGTTTATCTGTGTTTTCTAGTTTTTATAGAAGCCATACGGATACTTTGTTAAAGTGTTTTAGGTGTTTTTTTTTTTTTTTAATTGGACAGAGTCATCAGGCTCTCTTTTTCGGTAAGTACACTAATAAACTCACCTCCACAACCCGAGGACAACTGTGCCGTCAATTTGGGGCCACGCAGGCGCAATAGTGATCTAGTGCTTGGAGGCGGGACTAGAGCCTCGGTTAAAGACAGTCTTTCTAGCCAATCAAAGGACAGCAGCCAAGAGCTTCTTCCTGTAGAAGGAGACCGGAAATTGGATTTTGGTGGCGGTGGCGAAGGCGGCTACCAGTGTAAACCAAGAGTTAAGGTGAGTGGGCGGCGACAGCTTGGGGCTTCAGTCTGCGTGCGTTTCTTGCTCAGGACCCCACGGCTTCCTCATTGCTGGGTAGGGAATTAGGGGAAACTTGGCAAGCTTAACCTCCGGGGCGCTTGCTCGCCCTCCTTTGGAGAGCGTGGCCTCCGGACCCCAGGAGTGGACAGCCGGCCGCAAGGTGTTAGCTGTGCGTCTGGCCCGGGCATCCTTCAGATAAGAAGATTGAGCTGTACTGAGGTTGGGAGACTGGATTCTAGTTCCCGCGCGGTCGGCTTTTTAAATTGTGTAGCTTTGGGCGAATCATTTTCAAGCTCTGGTCCTTTGTAAAATGGAAATAGCAGTCCTGCCCATTCTGCTTCAGGGAACAGTTGTGAAAATCAGCTGAGCTAATGGCGGTAGATCGCAATTTACTCCTCAGGCGCACCCGGAGAGGTTTTAGAAATTATATTGCAGGGGCTCCCTATGGACAGTCTGAATCAAATTCCTGGCTGTGGGACCCTGAAATATACATATATATTTAAAGCCCTCAGAACTAAACAAACACTAGAAGGTGGATGTTGAGTCTGAACACCGACTATGCTGCGTGGCTCTGTTTTTACTAAAATAAGTGAAACACTATCCTTACCCTCGAAAAGCTCAAAGAGGCAATAACGAAATAAACATAATTTCTGTTTTATGTCAAGGCTCTAGTACAGTAGAAGCTTCATACTTACTGATTAAGAGAGCTAGGGCCCTGGATTAAGTATCCCTGCTCTGCCATTTACTAATTGATCTGGAACAAGTACATTTCCACATTAATCCCTCGGACTCTGATCATAGAATTACTATGAACATTAAATAACAGCGTATAAAACAATGGTACTTGTCACATGGTTGGCTTTTGGAAAATGGCAATTTTTCGTTTTGGAAATGGAACTGCTCCTGATGGTGGGGAGCACAGGCCAGGACTCCCAGAGTATAAAGGCTTGTGGAAGGTGAAAACTAGGCTAATATTTTATTTTGAACTTGCCCTTTGATGATAGTTCCTGAGTTTGATTATTATGCTGTGGACCTTCTTGCTTTTGAGATACACACTGAAGTATTTAATTGGTTGTTTTGGTTGCCTAAGGAGTTCTGATGGCTCAGTGCCTAAGATACTTGACTGCTAACCAGAAGGTTGGTGGTTAAAACCCACCAGCTGCTCTGCAGAAAGAGGATGGAGCAATCTACTTCTGTAAAGATTTAGGCTTGGAAACGTGGGGGTCGCTGTGAGTCTGAATCAACTGGAGGACAGTGAGGTTTTTTTTTTTTTTTTTTTCTTTTTCATTTCGTTATCTAGTGCTGCTCTGAGAGAACATTCCACTAGTGGGTGGTTTGAACATATGGATGTATTCTCTTACAGTTGGGAAGGCTAAAAGTCTGAGTTCAAAGTGCCAGCTCTAGGGACTGTGCAAAGGCCCCTCGACCTTAGGCCTCAGCCATGTCTCTCTCTCCGGGCCCACTGAAGCTAGAGGCTTTTCGTAACTCAGGCAGCTGCTAGCTGCTGAGGCTGACAAACCCAAGGCTGACAAATAAAATGGCACAGTTGTGAGATTATCAAACAACATGACAGGCTACTAGTTAAAGTTCAGAGACAGTCCCAAGATCTGCAGAAAATGGGGCAGGCTGCTAAATAAAGATTTGGCTACGTGCAGGATCCAGGCATACCAAAAATCTGCAGAGACCTCTCTCAATGCTGCTGCTTATATACTGGAAGTGGACCACATCCCTAAGAAAGGTGCTCAGCTGCTCCAGTAGATTCCACCATGGAGTTGATTACCAGTCTCATCATGGGGAATAACTGTGTCCAGCTGCCCAGCCACTCAAAACCAGGCCTAGCCAAGTGGACACATAACCACCACAAAGGTAAATGATGAGTGACCAATAAATGCAAATGAGAGAAAATGTTAAAATTTGGGAAATTAAGGTCAAGAATGAATTTAGAATTTCGTAAAATAAAACATTTAAAAAAGTTGATTATAACTGTTTGCAACTAATAAAGGTGTCTTGTAAATAATTGAAACAATACTTAACTCTTCATAAACTTCTCTCACATATACACACACTCACCCTTTTTTCCTTGATGGTAATATAGTATCATATGGACATCATATTTTGTCCAGCCCTCATACTGATGAAAACCCACTGCCATAAAGCCAATTCCGACTCATAGTGACTCACATTGTGTTTCTGAGGCAGTAAATCTTTACGGAAGTAGATTGCATAGACTTGGTTTCCTCCATATTGATGAAGGTGTGGGTTATTTCCAACTTTTCAAAACAGTGCATTGTTAAAACATCCTTGCACACATCTTTATGCACTTCTAGCAGTATTTTTGGGAGCTCTGGTAGCATAGTGCCTAAGGCACTTGACTGCTAACCAGAAGGCTGACATTTCAAACCCACCAGCCACTCCTCGGAAGGAAAATGGGGCAATCTACTTCTGTAGTGATAAGTGCCTTGGAAATCCAAGGAGGGGTCACTATGAGTCGGGTCCGACCCGATGGCACATAACAACAGCAGTATTTTTATAGGATAAATTTCTAGAAATGGGGTCTTTTGTTTAAAGATGATCAACTTGTAAAATTTTGAAATTGCCATATTAAATTCCAAAGATACATTAGGTTCCATACCCATCAGTTGTGCCTGAGAATTCTCCATATTTTCTTGGATGGTATTGGCTTCCCAGCTATGAGAGTCATGCAGTGGTAGTGATGGTGGCTGCATCTATGAGAGCTAAAGTGAGTTGGTGCTCTCAATCTGAGAATGCTTCCCTGCTGGGTCAAAATAGTTAAAGTACTGCTTCTAAAGTTGGGATGACCACTCCCCTGGAGATCCTGAGAAGAAATGTGACCTCTGCTGGAGTTGCTGCATAGGAGATGTTCTGGCATTTGCTGAAGGATGGACTATTTGAAATCTTGATGTTCTGTTAGATAAAAATAGCATTTTAAAATTTGTTGTAAAAAGTGTATTACTCTGAACATTTTCCTACCATTATTTGGCTTTTGTGTTTTTCTTCTTGTCATCCTTTGCCTATTTATTTATTTATTTATTTTCAGCATAGGTTTTAAAAAAACTCATTCAATGGATGCTTTGATGATCAATCATTTCCTAGGCACTGTTTTACATGCTGGAGATAGGGTTGTGAACAAGATAGGCAAAATTCCTGATACCACAGTACATTCCTTGTAGTGCGGATGGAGTCTGAAAATAAGTTTTAAAGCATCAAAATAAAATTTCTAATACTCACTCTGTCATATATTACAAACATTTTTCTCCCAGTTATTTTTTAAAATTTGCTTACGATATATTTTCTTATGTAGAATTTTTAGTTTTGTTTTTTTGTGTTTTTGGTAAGTAGTAACTTACCTGTTCTTGATAGATTGTAAGTAACACTACGATGGAGACAATGTCTTTTCTTTATCCTTGAAAGATGGTATAGTGTAGTATTTAAGAGTTTAGGCTCTGGATCCTTACTCTGTTATCTATCCTGTGACGTTAGGCAAGTGCTTAACTTTCTGAACCAGATGTCTCTAAAATTGAGGTAGTAAGAGTACCTTTTGCAGATTTCTTACAACCATGAGAAAAGTATTTAGAACAATTTCTGGCATATAGTGTATACTCATATATTAGCTATATTAATCATCATGCCCATGTAGTCATTTTGTACATTAGAAAAATATTTGAAGGAATAATGTTGTTAGGTGCCATTGAGTTGGCTCTGACTCAAAGTGTCCCTATGTACAACAGAACAAAACACTGCCTGGTCCTGTGCCAGCCTCATGTTGTTGTTGTTGTTATGTGCCGTCGAGTCAAACCCGACTCATAGCGACCCCCTCCTTGGGTTTCCGAGGCAGTATCACTACGGAAGTAGGATTGCCCAACCTTCCTTCCGAGGAGTGGCTGGTGGGTTTGAACCCCCAGCTGTCTGGTTAGCAGGCAAGTGTCTTAGCCACTATGCTGCCAGCCTCATAGTACTTGATATACCAGAACCCATCATTGCAGCCACTGTGTCAATGCATCTCATTGAGAGTCTTCTCCTTTTTTGTTGACCTTCCACTTTACTGAGCATGATATCCTTCTCCAGGGAATGGTTCCTTTTGACAACATGACCAAAGTAGGTCAAAAGAAGTCTAGCCATTCTTGTGTCCAAGGAACATTCTGGCTGCACTTCTTCTGGGACAGATATGTTAGTTCTCTTAGCAGTCCATGGTACTTTCAGTATCTATCGCCAACGGCACAACTCGAAAGCATCAACTCTTCTTTGGTCTTCCTTGTCCAGCTCTCATATGCATACGAAGTGATTGAAACTACCATGGCTTGGGTTAGACACACCTTAGTCTTCAAAGAGACATCTTTGCTCTCCAGCACTTGAAAGAGGTTTTTGCAGCAGATACGCCCAGTGCAATATGTCATCTGATGTCTTGACTGCTGCTTTCATTGGTGTTGATTGTGGAACCAAGTAATATGAAATCTTTGACAACTTCAATCTTTCCTCCAATTATCATGATGCTGCTTATTGGTCCAGTTGTTACTCAGAGAGGCAGTCTGCACTGGAGATAAAAATTAAGGAGTCAAAGACGTACAGATGAGGGTTTCTTCATCTTGGCACTTTTGTCATTTTAGGCCAGATGATGCCTTCTGGTGGGAGGCTGTCTTGTGTGTACAGCATCCTCAGCCTGTACCCATTAGATGCCAGTAGCACTCCCCTTCTCTAGTTGTGGGCGCTCTGGTGGCATAGTGCCTAAGGCATTTGACTGTTAACCAGAAGGCTGGTGATTCAAACCCACCAGCCAACCCTCGGAAGGAAGACTGGGTAATCCACTTCTGTAGAGATACCACTTCGGAAACCCAAGGAGGGGTTGCTGTGAGTTGGAATAGACTTGACTCAATGGCAGTGAGTCGTGTCCCCCCCCCCTTTCCCCAGTAGTGACAACCAGAAAGGTTTTCAGACCTTGCCACATGTCCCTTGGGGGTGTGTAAAATTGCCCTTAGTAGAGGACCACTGAGATAGTATTTAAAAAGATGATATTGAAAAGCTATGAAATTGATCTAGATCACCTGGGGTAGAATAGAATCAGGTGGTTACAGAGTCTAAAACTTGTGGCTTGCAGTCCACAAAGATTGTGTGTATATTTTCTTTTTTGGCTCCACAGAATTTCACATAAAAATCTGGGTCTCAGTTCTCCCAGAAAATTAGGAAACTGAGAACCAGTGAACCTTCATTCCACATGAATATTACTATCTGGAGGCATTGAGATCTGGCATGCGTACACTTAACCATAATCTCTCCCCCAAGTGCTTCACTGTTTGTTTCTTGCCTTTTACTTTTGATATTTGACTTTGTGATTCTCTGATGTAGAGAGAAACAGGGTCCAGGGAAGAGCTTTGAGGCACACCAGCATCACGGTTTTGGTAGAGAAGGAAAGGCGGCAAAGGAGACTAAGAGAGAGTGGCAGTGAAGGAGGAGGAAAATAAGAATGTGAGGTCACAGAAGCAGAGGGAAAAAGAAAGTGTTGAGAAGGAAGAAGCAGCAATGGTTATGCTGCTAAGAGATTAAGATGAACACAGATAGTTACCCATTGGGTTTAGCCATGTGGTGATTGTTGATAAGCGATTTTAGTAGAGTGGCAGCAGGTTAAAGCCAGAGTGGAGAATGACAAAAATGAATATGCCAAAGCCTAGGAAAGTAGTGTATTGAGGGTTGATATGGTCATAATAACCCTCTCTCTCTCTCTCTCTCTATATATATATATATACAACAACAACAACATATATATATATATATATATATATATATATTTAATAGTTGTAATAAAGGAGCCCTAATGGTGTAGTGGCTCAGAGCTTCGTTGCTAACTGGAAGGTTGGTGGTTCCAACCCACAGTTCTAACACACCAGCCACTCTGCTGGAGAAAGATGGGACAGTCTGCTTTTGTGAAGATTACAGCTTCTGAAACCCTGTGGGGAAGTTCTGCTCTGCCCTATAGGGTCACTATGAGTCAGAATCAATTCATTGGCAATGGGATAGTTATAGTAAAGGTCCCTGGGTGGCAGGAGGAGCCCTGGTGCTGTGGTGGTTAAAGGACTTAGCTGCTAAGTCTTGGAAACCTGTGGGTCAGTTCTTCTGTCCTATCAGGTCGCTTTGAGTTGGAATGGCAATGATTGTGGTTTTTTTTTTTTTTTTGGTTGGCACAAATGGTTTACTATTGATTACTGACCTACAAGGTTGTTGATTCAACCTCACTCAGTGGCACTGTAGAAGAAAGTCCTGGCAATCTGCTTCTGTGAAGAGTACAGCCAAGAAAACTTTGTGGAGCACCTGGGGTCACCATAAGTAAGAACTCAATGGCAATGTTTTTTTTTTTTTTTGTTATTGTTGTATTAAGAATGATGCTCCCTTGACTCTTAGCATCATTCTCTGGAGTTTTGTGGCTTGGTAGAAACTCAGGACTGTTGCACATGTACCGTCATACCTAACAAATTCCTATGTATAAAAGTGCTTCTGGTATGTTACTTGCCCCCTCTGATGTTGGAGGATGATGATGTATCATGAAACTGATAAAAAGCCTAAAAGAGCACTTGTAATCTCTTTTATGATATACTTAGGCTTAAAATGGAATAGGTAGAGATTATGTGGCCATGGAAGATACATTTGGATTTGAAATTTCTATAGAAAATGTAGAAAAGTTACTGAGTCCATAAAAAATTGTATGGGGAGGAAAAGGGTGTAGAATTAAATTGTTATTTTATTGAAGAAATTCAGATGATACCATGTGTCTGGATGTGAGCAATGCTAATTTTGTCAGGGTGTTTCTCAGAGTTATACTTAAGTATTTGCTTTTGAAATTCAACCAAAAATGTAAAATAGAAGTGATTGGGACATGAAATGGGGAGACAGCATGTGTAGTTTTGCTATGAAGAGTAGTAGAGAAATGGGGTATAACTGGTGAGAGATATGGAATCAAGATTTTTTTTAATAGATGAAAGGTACTCCATGTTTTCCATGCTGATGAAAGTATTTAGTAGAAAAGAAAAAAATATTTGGAGTACTTGGATGAATGAGCATATAATGCCTAACTAGAAAAGATTGGAAGCCTTTCCCTGTTTATAAATATGTTAGTTTTAGAAACTACAGGATTCTTCTTACTCTAGGCCCCATCCTGCCAGAATAAAATATTCTGTGTATAGTCACTAAATGTGACAGGGTTTGTTTTGTAGTTCTACTCTAAATCTTTGGTTGATTTCTGTAGGTTCCTGATCTTCCACAATGGGTGAACCACAGCAAGTCAGTGCACTTCCACCACCTCCGATGCAGTACATTAAAGAATACACAGATGAAAATATTCAGGAAGGCCTTGCCCCCAAGCCTCCACCTCCAATAAAAGATAGTTATATGATGTTTGGCAACCAGTTCCAATGTGATGATCTTATCATTCGCCCTCTGGAAAGTCAGGGCATTGAACGGCTTCATCCTATGCAGTTTGATCATAAGAAAGAACTGAGAAAACTCAATATGTCTATCCTTATTAATTTCTTAGACCTCTTAGATATCTTGATAAGAAGTCCTGGGAGTATAAAACGAGAAGAGAAGCTAGAGGATCTTAAGCTGCTTTTTGTCCACGTGCATCATCTGATAAATGAATATCGACCCCATCAAGCAAGGGAGACTTTGAGGGTCATGATGGAGGTGCAGAAACGGCAACGTCTTGAAACAGCTGAGAGGTTTCAAAAGCACCTGGAACGAGTCATTGAGATGATTCAAAATTGCTTGGCTTCTTTGCCTGATGATTTGCCGCATACAGAAGCAGGAATTAAAGTACAAACTGAACCAATGGATGCTGATGATAGCAATAATTGTACTGGACAAAATGAACAACAAAGAGAAAATTCTGGTCATAGGAGAGACCAGATTATAGAGAAGGATGCTGCCTTGTGTGTCTTAATTGATGAAATGAATGAAAGACCTTGAAGGATGTTTGTTTTTCCTTGCTTTTCTTTTTCCTTCAGTAAATAGCATTACATATTGGTTTATTTTCTCATAGACAGTTTTAAAAGAGATATAACTAAAAGTCATCCAAATGATTTTTCTCTTGACTCTGATTTTGTAGATTATGAAATGTTGCAGGCAGTAATTTCAGTTTACAGCAAGCATAGACAAATGAGTACACTTACATTAAAAGTTATCACCTTAAAAAGCTGCTATTGTGTGAGACATTCCTATTTTTGGAGTTTCAATAAAACTTTGAAGATATCCTCGGTAATAGAAAGCTTTCATCCTTGAAAAGTAGGTTTGTTATTTGCTTTACGTATGATAGAGAAAAGATTTCAAGCTGTGTAAATGTGAAATTATGAAATGTTTAGAGTTACTTAAAAAAATTGCTTAACACTCTAAAAGGTAGTATACCATGTTAAGAGAGGAACCTAGTAGAATTGGTATAATAGCAATTTTATTTTCTTCATTACTGCTACAAACCCACTATCTCAGTTTCTTTACCCCATTCTAGATGAAATATAGGTGAGTCTCATACTTTCCCCATCCTCCCCCCAGTCACCAATCCTTTGGGTACTTTTAGTTGTAGATGTTCATTTTGGTAAATTAAAATGTTTATATAATTAGCTATACATTTCCTTTAAAGGTAAGTTCAGACTTGATTAATGGTTGCATGCTGTAACATGAAAGGAGTTTGGTGCCAGAGACTACTAGATGTCCATCATAGGTTCTTACTGCCCTGAGATAACATGGCTGAGATATGGCTGTGCAGCCAGGGACTACATTTCCCCAGCCTACTTGCATCTATGTGAGGCCATGTGACTAAGTTCTGAATAATTGAATATAGTAGGAATCCAGGCCTGCCTCCTAAAAAGATTTTGCATGATCCTCTGTTCTCCTCCCATCTGCTGGCTGGGTGGTCACACCCACTATAACGTTGGAAACCCTTGAAGGTGGTAAAGGTTCAGTCAGTTTGGGTCTTTGCATGACTATGAGGATTAGGGCCTCCCTTGGTTAATCACCACCCCTTTTCACCTCCCCAGCTGATTAGACTATATGAGCTAGACTTTATATGAGCAAGGGTGTAAACTTGTTTTGAGCATTGAGATTTTATTTCTGCATTTCTTCTTTCCTAACCTTTCTTTGTGGTCTTCGTGGAGCGTCTGCCTTGTATCTGAGGATCTCTGACTGCCATTCTCTTAAATACAGGTCTATGGTTCTCAAAGTCTTGGACCGGCAGCATTAGCATTACTTGGAAACTTGTTAGAAATGTGTATTATCAGGCCCTACTACAGACCAGGACTTCAAACCAATTCTTTCTGACTTGACCCCTGCTGAGAATTTGCATTTCCACCCCACATATGCTGAATCAGAATCTGCATTATAACAAGATCCCTAGGTGATGTAGATTCTGATTCAGTATATCTGGAGTGGAAATGAACATTTTCAGCGGGAGGTCAAACCAAAATGAACTGGTTCGAAGCCTTGTGTTGCCTTCACAGATTTTAGGAGTAAGCACCCGAGTTACTAGGTGCTGTTGTGTTAATTCCAATTTATAGTGAACCTGCGTACAACAGAATAAAATACTGCCTGGGCCTGCACCATCCTCACAATCATTGCTATGTTTGAGCCCATTGTTGAAGCCACTGTATCAATCCATCTCATTGAGAGTCTTCTTTTTTGCTGAGTCTGTACTTAACCAAGCATGGTGTCATTAAGGTTGGTTTACTTTGGGGAGGCAGCTCTTCCCCAGTCATATTTTGAGTGCTTTCAACTTAAGGGGCTCATCTCAGCACTGTATCAGACTGTTACCCTGCTATCCGTAGGTTCTCAGTGCCAAATTTTTCAGAAGTAGACTGCCACATCTTTCTTCCTAGTCTTTCTTAGTCTGGTAGCTCTGCTAAAATCTGTCCATCGTGCTGACCCTGCTGGTATTTGAAATAACCAGTGGTATAGCTTCCAGCCTCCCATCAACATGTAAGCCACCACAGTATGACACACTGACATATGTGTGGTGTGTTCTTAAGTAACCAAAAAACCGAACTCACTGCTGTGGAGTCAGATCTGACTATAGCGACCTCTTTACCAGAAAGGCAGCTAGTTGGTCAGTCTCCCCCCCCATCTACCCACCCCATCACCCCGTATGTCTATAGATCTTTGGACTCCAGAGACTCCGTGGACACAGTCTCTTGAGTTTAAATCAAATGGGGAGCTCCTCCCTCCCCATCCCTTGTTGGGGTACAAGACAGAACTCTCCAAAGAAATCTTTGACTTCAACCCTTTTTAGCCTTGAGGATAGTGTTGGGCTAAAAGGTCCAAAACAAGTTCTTGGTTACTTTACAAATCCGTAAGTGCATATTGCTGCATTTAAGAAACAAAGGAAATCACATTATAACATTTTTACAAGCGTTACAACAGTCATTTGTATATTAATTTGTGCAAGAGAAGTGTAGGAAGGAAAGACAGGGATTAAAATCTCATGCAGAATCAGACCTCTGGATGCTCTGATTTTTGCATGTCTGTGGGTGGGACCTGACATAAAGGGTTCTGATGTGAATCCCTGTGACTGCAGTTTAATGAACAAGAACTAAACAAACTGCCATCGAGTCTATTCTGACCCTATAGTACAAAGTAGAACTGCCCTAGAGGATTTCCAAAGCTGTGAATCTTTATGGAAGCAGACTGCCTCATCTTTTTCCTGCAGAGCAGCTGGTGGGTTCAAACCTCTGCCCTTTTAGTTAACACCCAAATGCTTTTTAACCTGCTTCACCAGAGTTCCTTGAACAAGAACTAGTGGTCTGATATTTGTCACAATTTTAAAAGTTGATTAAGTCTTTCAGTCTTCTGAGGATTAAAATACATCTCTGTGCTACTGCTTACAATGAGTATTCCTGAAAGATTGATTCCTGAACCATGGGCGATCAGAAGGGCGCCGTTTGCACAGGGAGAAAGGTAGGGAGGCAGGAATGCTCAGGCACAAAGGAGGAAAGAAAGGGTAACCACAGGGAGGAAGTGGGAGGTGAGTTGTTACACTTCAGGGAGTGTAAGCAGTGTCACAAAATGTGTATGAACTATTGAAAAAAAAAAAAGTGACATATTTAGAAGAATCACCTGGGTAGCACTTGAAATTGCCAATCCCTAGACCACAGAGATTCCAAATCCATTGTTTCTGAACAATAGTTTTAAGAATTCTGCAGATTGTGTGCTGTTGTTAAAAAGTATTGCATTAGTTGATACTCTTATTGGTAACAGGAACCCTACTTTGAACTAGTTTAAGCAAAAAGATTCTGTTGGAAGTATGTTACAAGGTTGAAAGATTAATTGATCAGCCAAAAAACACAGGAGGATGGGGAGAATCTCCAGAGGTAATGGAACTCAAACTCCATTCAGACCCTGTGCCTCCCCTATCTGGCTTCTGTTAGCTTTATTGTCTTTACATATAAGCTTCTTTAATTGTGGGTGGACAACATGATTGCTAACCACTCCCTAGTGCTAAGTCTTTATTTCTGCCACTGTCTGGGAGTTGCTTCTGAAATACAAATTAAAAATGAAAAAAAAAAGTGAAAGGCTAATTAATAAGCCAGGAGGGAGCAATTACAGAATGTATACGTGATTCCAAATGGTGCCTTGCAGTGCAGTGAATTACTTAATATGGCCCATCTGGCCATGGTCTTTTGTAACTCCCACCAGATGGCTAGGAGGTGCGAATGTGAAGTGCTTGTGGCCTACCAAGGGTATTGGATAGCTTGTTTATGTAAATGAGGTACATAGCACCTTTGTGGGGTGGGACCCTAACGTGGAAATTGGTCAGTTTTGCCATCTTACTAGGCTTAATGTGAGCCATCCCACAGGCAGAAAGGGGTATCTCACTACCATCAAGAAGGAAGAGCCAGGAGTGGAGCATGTCCTTGGACCTGAGACTCCTGTGCCAATATTGGCAGCAAGATCGTGGCAGCAGAGGTAGCAAAACCAACAGAATCAAGAACAGCATGAGACAGAGCAGCAGACTTCCTGACCCATGGAGCTAGAAGGCTGTGTGTACCTTTGGGCACAAGGCTTGCTGGCAGAATGAGGTGCCTCTCTGGGCACCTATCATCAGAGCTAAAAGAGCTTTTTAACATTTGCCCAAGCAGGGCAGAGGCTGAGACCAGAGAAGCGTGCACAGCTGAGAAGAAACGGTCATGATTGAAGAATTCTATCCTGAGTTGTTTCTGATCCCCATGCTTGTTAAGTGTCTGAGAGTTCTGTGTGGCCATTGCAATGAATTACTGAACCCAGCAGAGAGGCAGTGAATGTTGTGGGAGGGATAGTTGGTATCAGAATTGACAAAAGGGTTAGAGGGTGGTGGCATGTCTGACCTGCACCTCATGAAATCAGCCTTGGACTGTTGATAACTGTTCTGGATCCTCCTCCTCCCTTATAAAGTTAGAAGTCAGAAGCTGTCCCTTTTTGCAGGCCTGAAATCCTGGAAGATTTCAACAGTCCTCACTATGTCCATGTGTGGAGGAAGCAGTCCACCTCTTAGGAGAAAGGAGGCATGCTGAGCTGACAATACTGTAGATGAATATCCAGTATGAATTAAGCATGTGTAAGTTTATAAACAGCAAAAATAATCAGGTTGTACTAATATCATATTCCTTTTATTTGTGTGCATGTGCCACCTCATTCATTCATTTACTCATTGCATTCTTTATTTAATATTTATTATGCTCCTCTTTATGCCTGAATACATCTTAGGTGCTGTGTGTCAGGGTAGGACAAAGGAGAAAAGATAGTCAACAAGAAAACAAGTTTATTGATTTCTGAGAGTTGTTAAGTTTGTGCCTTAACTATCTAGCCATGATGGTTCACTCAGAACTGTAGGCTAGCCAAGTTGACCCACAGCCTTTACTACCACAGGCACCAATCTTATAGGTAATACTGATTTTGTGTGCCACTCTGCTATTTCATTAAATCTGAGAAGATAGGCTTGGTTCTGGGGTTAAAGTGTGTCTCAAGGTGATAGTCCCAGCGAGTCCTTTGTTGTCTACTGTTCCAGTTTGTCTGTCCTTTTTTTTCTCAATGGTCTTGTAGTTCCATTTGGAGTACTCCCTTGAGTAATACTTGCAGAGCTGGTGTAAACCAAAAAAAAAACCAAAAACAAACCACAACTCACTGCCTTGGATCTGGATCATAGCGACCCCTCCTTGGGTTTCCAAGGTGGTATCACTACAGAAGTAGATTGCCCAACCTTCCTTCCGAGGAGTGACTGGCCTGGTGGTGGCAG